CACACACACACACTTACCTTGACTTGGGAGAATTGGTCTCAGTACTCCCAAACTCAAAGGATGCTCACGTTCCCTGTATATATTGGGTGTTTGTGTAAAGGCAGCAAACTTCCTCCCACACACTTCAATCATGTCTAGTTCTTGTTCCATGCCTAGTACTGCAAATGGTCCCCATGTGCATCATCTTGGGAACAGTAATAAGAAAAACAATCTGTGGATTAGAAATCCACAGAGCCAGAAGTTGACTGTACTATAATGTTGGTGGCTTAAAAACCAACCACACAGATTTGTCATTGTCGTGGCTCCAGAGGTCAGAAGTTCAGGGACTAACAGCAAGGTATTGACCAGCTGCGCTTGTGGGAGGTCCTGGGGGAGGACCCATTTCTTTCCATCCCCCAGGTCCTAAAAGCTAATTCAGAAGCTTTCCCTCAGAGCATGTTGCCTCCTCTTTAAGCTCTCTGCATATAACCTGATAAAGAAATCTCAACATTAAAACATACCAAGAGTGTCCAATGGAGATTTTAAAACAAAGAAAATCATTTTTTATTATCTGCAACCTCCAAGCTTGGCCCCTGGCATTTCTTGGCAACAGCTTAATCAAACAGTCCCTCTCAGTACTCCATTCTATTTTCTGTGTTCCTTACATCTCTACTGTGCCCTGAATGACACCTGGAACGGTACTGAATTCTTACCAAACTTCAATGTATACTAATTATTGGAGGATTAATTAAGTTAATTAATTAAACTGGAGAGTTTCACTTATAGATTGCATCTTTTTAAAAAACAGACTACCAGATTCTTTTTATTACAACAACAATAATAATAATGTACAATTGATGGGAGTCATTTCTCTCCTTCTAGCATAAGGAATAGGGAATCAAATTCAGGTCCCCAGTCCTGGCGGCAAATACCTTTACCCGGCAAGCTATCCTGATGCATAGCCCACAGATTAGCAGCTTCTTCAAAGACTGAACATGCAACTCACATTTATATCCCTAGGTATTTATTCCAGAGAAATAATTATTTAAGTCTCATTCAAAACATATACATTATGTTTACAGCAGCTTTCCACTGCGTAGCCAAACCTAGAAAGCACACAGTTAGTAGGGTGCATCCACACTGTGGAATGGGGCTCAGCAAGCAGAGGGAAACGACTCTCCAGACACACAGCCATGGGGATGGGATGCAGAGAGTCACACTCGGCAAAAAGACACCCAGCCCAGAGGGTCATACAGCACATATGATTCTATAACATTCTTGATTGTAAGATGATATCCCTGGGACGATCTGGATAATGGGTACAAGGAATTTTTCCATATTATTTTTTGTTTAGGTTTTGTTTTTGAGACTGAGTTTCACTCTGTAACCCAATCTGACCTCAAACTAGTAATTCTCCTGTTTCATCCTCCCAAATGCTGGGATTGCAATCATCATCCTGCACAACAGGACTTACTACTGTATTATCTGACTCTGCAATTAATTCAGTTAAGGTTTATTTTCAAAAGACACGTTAAATAAAGTATTTACCATAAAGCTGTTCACAAACAATAATTTTTGTGCTACCAAATTTCTTCTTTATTTTCCTTCCTGGAAATTTATTGGTTTTTAATTTATTATAGCCAAAGAGTTTATCTCCTGTTTAAGAGACATATTTAAGAGACCTGTTTAAGGTCATCCTTGGGCTGTCTTCATGACTGTAGTGTGTTGTTCTTGGATTCTTATTTTCCATGCTACTCTGTTGCCTTCCATCTATTGCTCTGAGCTTTTCCCATCCTGACCAAGAAGATATCATCAACTGAGGTATTGGTTTGGATTTCAATCTCCAGCAACACTGCAACAAGGAATGGGGCCTTCACCATTTCCCAGACAGAGACTTGTTTTGAAAATAGCATTTTCTCATCCCGAACGGGAGCTCATGGCTGTAACCTCAGCACCAGAGAGGCTAAAGTAAAAGGACCCTGCGTTTTAGGTCAACAAGAGCCCTTTGAGCTCAGTGTCAAGGTCGGACTTCCAGGATTTGCCTCCGTCTGAGAATCTTTGACAGTCTTTTCATCTCCTCTTTGTTTCTCTACCAAAGTTGAGTACAGCCTGCTGGGCATCATCCTTAGCAAGTGTCCACCACACTTTGGTTACCTTTGTCTAGGAAGTTCCTTTACAGTTTTGACATCATGCTGCCACTGTTGTTGCATGTATGGAATACATGTCCCCATTGCCATTCAGATCCTGTCCACAGAGCCCGTGGCAGCTGGGGTGACCTGACTGAGGGCAGGGCAGGATCAGCAGTCTGGTATTTTGTCTTGATGAGTGTGGTTTCGTATAAAATTTCCTTCTGCTTTCTTTTTCAGTGACTACAGGGAAAATCCAGGAACACATCACCAATCAGGTATTTACTCACCTTCTCACAAACTAATTCAAAGTCATTTTGATTGCTAATACTTGCTTTAGTAAATGTTTTGATCAGCTCGTGCTCATCATTAGCTATGAGCAATAGACACAGCCATGGTCCTTAGAACCAATAAATCACTCTGTGAATGACCATGCACTTTCTTTGTCTGCCTCAACCCCACTGTTTTCCTCTGCCCCATCCTACCAAAAACAGGAAGAGTAGACACACCCTGGCACTCTAAACACAGTAAGTGTCCCTGTGACCATGTTGTGACTTCTGGAACAAATATACTCACAACTCAGGTGACTCTCCTCTGTCATCTCAAGTTTAGTTCAACTAGATAAAATTGAATGGCTGCCAGGGCCCTCTAGAGAGGGAGGCACCTCAGGGTGACTCGTCCTTCTCACCATTTCCCTGTGCTCACCTTAGCTGGTGTGTTCCTGTTTCACACTCTTCATGCCCAAACTCTTTGTGATCTAATGTCTGTATTGTCAGCTATATATACTCTTTACAGGACTGGTGACAGGTAGCCACCCATGGCATAAATCAAGAAAGGCTGTCACCAAGAGCTATACTGCTGGCCTACTGACCCCATCTGCAGGCCAGTTGAGCTGCAGGACCTCCACATGCTTAAGAGACTCAGAAAAGTCTGACATTGGCCTGTGGCAAAGTACTGCTCAAATTTCAATCCCAGATACAAATCTCCATGGCTTTTCTTCTTTCTTTTTCTCTGGTATAAATTATAACTCACCGTTGCCAAGGAGAAAGGTGGTAAGTGTGCATTTATATTGGGTAAAGTACATTTTTCTTTTCCTGGTGGTCTACTTTTTATTGTTATGTTTCTTTTTATTATCTTTTTAGTTAGCATGCAAATAGCGGGTTGCAGTAGACTTGAGACGTAGCTCTGTTAGTAGAGTGCTTTGGTACATGAGCATGAAGACCTGCATTCTATCTCCAACACTACTTAAATTAGATGTGCTAGGGTGTGCCTGTAATGCAGCTCTTTGAGGCAGAGGCTTGGGGATGGGGTAAAAGTTCAGGCTACCCTCAGTTCCTGAAGGACATGGGAACCAATCTAGGATACATGGGATCACTGCAGTATTCTCAAACATCTGTATTGTACTTTGCTGGTGTTTACCCCTCCCGTCATCCTCATTTGTCTCCCTCATTCTCCTGGTGGTCCCCCAAATAGTATCCCTTCTGCTTTCGTACTGAGTCAGAGTTTGGCTGCAATGTCCCTGGGGTCCCTGGATAAATACCTAAAGAAATCTAAGTCACACACCACAGAGGTACCTGAATGTCTGTGTTTTTGTGGCAATGATCTTTTTTATCTAAGTTACTAATGTCTTCCAAAAATAAACTCCAATTTTAGTCCCCATTGTCAATTCACCCAAATAAAAATATGGTTTTTTGCCTTGTCAGTACTAGATACCTCTTAATTCATCAAGCTTTAAACACTGAGAACTCAATTTGTTTAATATATCCCACAGCAAAATCAATAGGCGGGATCAAGCATTTGTCAGACACATTTTTGCTCTTCTTGACAGACAGGTTGTAGACAGACAGAGAGACAGAGATTTGGGATTTATTAAATTGGCTACAGGATACCATCTGGGAGCTCAGCAATGGCTGTTTTCACACTGGAGAGGCTGAAAAACAGTACCTGCCCAGTCCACAAGGCTGGATGCCTCATTAGTTCCAACCAGTGTTAAAGTCCTAGAGGATTCCTGGAGGGCCACTAGCCTTTAGTCCATGTTGGCAGGCTAGAGAAACTGAGTCCCCACGTCAACCAAGGAGAGCAGCAAAGGCAGCACGGGGTAGATGAACTCATCAGAAAGCTCTGTCCATAGCTGGGCTGCTGCAGCTGGGAGGCGCCACCAGCCCTCACAGTGGGTCTTCTGCCCCAGTCAGTATAACTGACAACATCTTCTAGTATGACCAGAGACATCTCTAGTCTGGTTGAACCCTCACTGGTATGAGCAGAAGTTTGCCTCCTGAGTGATTCTAGATTTTGTCAAGTTGACAATCAATATCAACCATCAGAACCATCAACAATTATAATCATAGCTCTAAAAATTTCAACAGGAGTAATTAGTCTTAAAATAGGTAAGACGTGGATGGCAAGGGCTTTGCATTTAATCAGGAGCCCAGTAAAGTGTGTGTGTTGGAGTAAAGGACTGTTAGTCCAAGACATTAAACATGGGCAGAAAATTTCAGCTTCAAAGACAGTAAGAGAAAATGTAAGTACATCAAGGAAGGGATCTTATCATGAATTTTTTTTTGGGGGGGTGGTGAATCTCAAAAGACAAAAAACATGAATGTAATTTTCCCTTTTGGGGATTGTGGCCAGAAGTTTCCCGTCCCCCTCCCTCGTCCACTCCATGTTGAATACAGTTTTAAAGGTTGTGTTATAAGAGAGGAGCAGCCGGTGTGGTATTTGAGGACACCCTGATTGTGTGATGGCAAAGTCAGCTGCTCTCTCTCTCACAGGGCTCATTTACCTTCTTTGCTCTGTCTCTTTACACTCCTCCAATGAACTAAAGTGGTTTTATAAGGCAGACCCTTAGTTAAGACCTGAAACTGTATTGTTAAATTTATACCTTTACCACAGACAGAATGCTTTTCTCACAAAGGCATCCACTTTCCCTATTGATATAACAGGTAAAAATAGTTTTTAAAGAACTGTCACTATACATATGTATTTTGCTTGTTGAGACTATTTCCCTCACAACCCACCCTCCTTTTTCCCTTTCCTTCTCCCTCCCATTGGTCCTGTTGTCTTCCACATATATATAGTCACATATGTATGATGTTATGTATCTACATGAAATCTAGGAACCACAAATAGGAAGAAAGCATGGTACTGCCTTTCTGCAATGGGCTTAATTCATCTAATATGCTTATCTCCAGCTGGACTGAGGCAGGTCCTTACAGGAGAATTTCTGTTTCCTGCATGCTGTGCCTTTGTTCATTTGGCTAAACTAATAGAATGTGTGGACACCAAAACAGAACACCAAATATTTACTCATGATCTTAAACGCGAATCTGATGCCAGTCTCAATAAGCAATTGAAAGCCTTTGAACTTTAACATAAGGGGGAATGCCTTAATGCATTGCTCACACAGCCCTTCTCAGAACAGAACTGCTTGTGCAATCTTTGTCCAAGGGCTCACATTTCTAATACCCCAGTGGAATTTCTATTCATCCTTCTTCCAATGAGGGACGTGCTTCCCACTCTCAAAAACACAACCCAGAGAGTCATCTGACAACTTTAATTTATCCAATTTCTGGAAGAAAAGCTAAGCCATCCCCATTTGCTTTTTTTTTTTCTTTTTTCCTCTTCTTTGTTTCATTTTTCTGAAACAAGATTTTACTGTACAACCCAAACTGGCCTGGAGCTCACTAATGTGGCCCAGGCTGCCTTCGAACTCATGGTGATCCTTCTGTCTTCCTCTTTTTGAAATCATTTTGCTACCAAAGGAATCTGGCTCTTGAGAAGCATTTACTTTCATTGGTAGGGGGAGGTGTCTCAGCGTGAGTGCTGAGCTTGTGGGAGACAGGTCTCTCCTACAATGTGCCTTCCAGGGACTCAACTCAGGTGTCAGGCTTGGTGGCAAGCACCATCCCACGAGCCCCAAGAGAAACACTTTTGAAAACTCACTTTGGATAATCAATACAGTATTTCTTACCAGACAACAATGCAGAATGGAATGCTGTTGAGCATTAATCTTGCCCCTAAATCCTCCCTACTGGGCACTATAAATTGTGTAATTAAATTGAAGTTGAAAATCGAGCCTTTCCTCTCATCCTTTCTTTTCCCTGCAGTGGGCAGACAGAGTTGTGCACCAACGTGAGAAATCAAGGCTGGAGAGGGAGGGCGCTCAGGAGCCACTGGTCGGTATCCAGTGTGTGCCTTTAGCCTCCAGCTCCGTTAGCACACCTGACCTCTGAGAACAAACCAACACTGGAGTCCTCTGGGGGGAACCCTGAATCCTTTCCCATGTAACTCACTGGGGATTTCAGACTGCTTTTCAAAAGTAACTCGTTAATGCAGCTTGTTTACGAGAAAAGGACAAAAGTGAAGAGCAGAGTGCTTGGCAGCTCGTGGCCCGAGATGTCATGAATGCATGACCCATTTCTTCAGCTGTGTCTTTGGCAACATACCGCTGTAGCAATCTCCTATTCGGAAAATGTTACTTGTTGAGATGAAGCCTCCTATGCGTTTGCTGAATGATTTTTCACCACGGTAGATTAAAGCAAATACCTTAAAATGCTACCAAAAGTATTTCCAAAACCAGATAATTGTCGTCATGAGGAGAGAGGGAAAGACGGGACATGAAAACCTTTCCCTTTCGCTGCTCGAAACAGCCTTGCTATAGAGCCCACAACTGAAACCTCCAGTAAATAAATACCAGCTGTTTATGTCCTTTATGAAGCAGGTCATCAACACCCTTAGTGCATCAGGACCTCAGGCTTTTGCAGCGAGGTGACAGGGAAGGGCACTTGGTGATGGCGATCCATGGTTTATGAAGAGGCATTTGTGTCGTGAACAAGCCCAGCTCAGGAGCCAGTTCTGAGACAGTTTTGGCCTGACTGATTGCCAGGTCAGTGAGAGCCAAGTCCACAATTGTGCACCCAGGCTAATCATGAGTCTTCTGGAGTTGCCATAGCAGATTAGTGGGAATGAGGGCTTTAAAACAAGGCGAAGGTGTGCCTTACAAGTCTGCAGGCTCTACATTCAAAGACAGGATGGCATGGAGGCCACTTTTCTTCTCAAACCAATGGGCAGGATTCTTCCCTCCGCATCTTTGTGCCTGGTGATGACCAGCAACTTTTTGCAATCCCTGACTCATTACCACATCACTTCAATCCCTGCCTGTTCTCCTTCTCCTGACTCCACTCCCCTCGGAAGATGAGGGGATGCCAGCTATACAAGCCAGTAGTCATGAACTGGTATTAATGAACACACCTTGATTATATTTATAAAGACCCTATAT